AGCGGCTTGCTATGGGGGTGCTGGATGAAGAGGAGGAGCCAGGAATTCTGTTGGAAGACCCCAGAAGAGGAGGATCAGGGCTGCTCTCTGCAAAACCATTGTACACAGCAGGTATTGTAAGTATACCATGTAAAGGAATCAATATTTTATTTTTAAAGTAACAATGACTTTAAAGCCTAACTCCATGTTTTAGTGTGCTTTAGTTTGTTTAGATCAAGCTGGTCCAAACAAACTATTATTCTATTCCTTTCTTTTATTTTCTGTTTTGTTTTATTCTGTTTTATTCTATTTTATTCTTTTCAAAATGTAATTTTTGTAAGATGGCTATATTCTTTCTATTCTATTTTTTTATTCTATTCTATTCTATGCTATTCTATTCTATTAATGTGCTTTAAAGTTTATTTTATTCTTTTATTTTCTATTCTATTCTGTTTCATTCTATTCTTTTCTAAATTTGAATTTTGGATATCAGCTATATTCTAAAACACACGGTCTTTGAAGGAAATCAGCAACAGTCGACAATATGTTTACATTTCAAATTTGTTTTCAAATTTGTTTTACATTTGATTCAAATTCAATTCAAATTCAGATAATTCGCTATTTTGGACGACATTTTGTTTCGTTATATCGGATTAGTTTAAATTTTACTTTTGTAATTCGGAGACTCAGATACATCAGAATCTCCAAATAACAAAATTTTGTTGGAACTTCTATTTGGAACAAAACAAACCACACACTCATGCTGGTAGGTTAATTGGCTCTTGTCTAAATAGGCCCTAGTATGTGTATGTATGAATGTGAGTTAGGGACCTTAGATTGTACACCCCTTGAGGGTTAGGGACTGATGTGAATGTACAATATATACAGTATGTAAAGTGCAAAGTAAATTGATGGCGCTAATTAAGTACCAAAAATAAAATTAAAAAAACAAGTCTAGGGGAATTTCTCTGTCATCAGAATACACAGATCGGTGCTGCCAGCTGTTGCCTATGGCGCTGATCGAGCAGAAAAATACAGACAGGCTGGTTGTACAGAAGATGTACAACCTCCCTACCCATATATGGATCAACATTTGACCAGCCCCTGCTGAACTGGCCAAATTCTGATCTACTGTATGTATTGCCGCTTTGCTCCTATGCTCTAAAACCATGTAAAAACTTGTTTGGGTATAAGAACAGGACTTAAAAAGAGCAAGTCAAATGAGACTTGTATGGTGGGAATGATCTAAAGGATGTGGCTAAAAAAGGGAGATGCTTAAAGTGTTGCTAAACCCACAACAGTAAAATTAGCCTGTATATGCAGGAAAGCATGCTTGTTATACTCCACTGTGGAACCTAAGGGGTCAATCCTCTGCATTGTGTAAAAAGGCTGTTTGATCCTGACTTCTCTGCCCCTCCTCTTGTTCAAATGTACACCTGATAAGACAGACTGAACCTATAGTCACATGTACATGCACAGTTTAGTGTGTATTGCTAGAGAGATTTTTTTTTCTTGGGAGAGCGCATGTGACCAGCACAGGGCCAATCAGCACTGTCCAGACAGACGTCAGGGGTTTTGCATCCTCCTAGAACAGAAATAAAATTTCTACAAGCTTTAACCAGTGCTCTGCTGAAGTCACAAGACTGCTCTAACTGCTGATGAGAAAAGGTATTTAGCAGTTTATATTTACTAAAATAATTGCATTTCCATGTTCTGTGTACTGTGGGAGACCAGATATAGTCCTGGGTTTAGTAACACTTTAGTGCACCAGAGATTCTGAGCCAATGGGGTGATTTTTTTGTACTTAAATCCAGCCCCAGTGTCATAGCTAGAGAGTTATATGAACTATTGGCCTTCCTCTGACCTCTCCCTCTTATAATGGCATTTAAATTTGAATAGACAACAGTTAAGTATTATTTTTAATAAATTAATTAAAGATCGTAAAATATAAAGTGCTCCTACAATGAGCCTTCAGTTGTTACAGGGCATATCAGGATAACGATGAGAGGCATGCAACAAAAGAATGATCTCAACATTGGTTAGTGTGCAATGTGTTTAGGTTGTTAATGGAAGCAATGAAGAATGGCTCTAAGTTTTTTCCATTTTCTGTCTAGCCATGACCTCTGGCATATGCAACTTCTATGACATAGATGAAGTTCACAATACATACAGTATTTCAGACTACCTATCTAGAATATTGGATAATAAGGGTACTTGTTGTGGGAGGACAGTGTACAGCAAGGACAATGAGACATCAAAGCCTGCAGGAAGCACTGGTTCATTTACTTATTTGAGTAATATAATGTGCTGGGTATAGGAGATAACTATGTGAGGAAGAACTGGCACTTAAAGTGGTTGTAAAGGTAAAATGTGTTTATTTTCCCTAATGTATTCTATGCATTAAAGTAAAAAAACCTTTTAAGTGCAGTCCCCCCCACAGCCCTCCCTAAATACTTACCTGAGCCTGATCTCAGTCTAGCACTGTGCTTGCTGCATCAGCTCTTCTTTCTCTCTCTCAGGAGCCATTGGCTGCTGCTGCTGTCCATTAAATACTGTGAACAGAGAGCAGGGGGTGGATCAGGGTCAGGCTGTATGTCTGTGAGTGGAAGTGAGCCCACACAAGTGCCCCCCATAGAAAGCATCTTCCTATGGAGGCATATGGCGGGGGAGGAGGAGCCAGCATCACCGGAAGAGGACCAAGAAAAAGGAAAATCAAGGCTACTCTGTGCAAAACCATTGCACAGAGCAAGTGGTATGACGTGTTTGCTATTTTAATTATTAAAAAAATGTAGCCTTTAACCACTTGCCAACCACCCACAGTACTCAGTTAGCACGCAGTCGCTCTGCCTGTACTTATACATAGGGGCGCTGTGTGCCCAATGGGGCACAGCACGTTCCCCCTGTAACCACTGTGTCCACTGGACACAACGGAATGCAGATCCCAGTTATTAAGACCCGTGCTCATGTGATCACTTATCACAATGCTAGCTAAGCTGTTATAAATCAATCTGATTCACAACAGCTTTGCTTCTCTTCCTGGTGAGCTGTGATTGGCCCACAGCTCTCACATGGTACACACAGCACCCTGTACCATGTGACCAGCTGAAGCCAAACACAGATCACTGTCTTTTGAACTGTCATGAACTTTATTGTCATTACTTTATCTTTACTTTACTTTACTTAATCTTTATTGCTGCTGCAGTGCAAAGTGTAAAAAAAAAAAAAATCCCTGATCACCCCCTCAGAGTAGTACAATGTTACTATGGTAACATTGCACTACTCTGATGAAAGCATTTTTTTTTTAAAGAAGAAAAGTAATGTAAAACAAAATAAAAATAAAATATTGAGAAAATGTTTTAAATTTTTTTTTAAGTTTTTTTTTTTTTTAACTACTTGCGAACAGCCTGCCCGCAATGTGCAGGCAAGTGAGAGGTCTGGGCAAAGTGGCGTAACCTCACATTACTTTCTAGTTCTGGGTATGCGTGAAGGGAGAGAAGAGAGAATACTGCACTGTGAGCAAAAGCACTACATTTTACACACACACACTAGATTAGCACATTTAACCCTTTGATCATCCCTGTCACTCAGCCAGTGCCATTAGTACAGTGTCAGTATATAGAAATTTTCAGGGATCGCTGTATTACTGCCACTAGCGACATCTGATAGCGTCAGTCCAGTGTTGGTATGTAAACAAGGATTTTGCCATGCATCACTGCAAATGTCAGATTGAGGGCAGGAATTCTAGCACTAGACCTCCTGTGTAAATCTAAAGTGGTAACCTGTAAAGGCTTTTAAAGCATCGCCTATGGATTTTCAAGATTTATGTAGTTTGTTGCCATTACATGGGTGTATGTAGTTTTTGTGCATTAATATTCAAAGAAGTGTATTTTTAAAAAAACATTAGCGTTTGAAAAATCCTGCGCAAATACTGTATTACATAAAAAATTGCAACACCCACTGTTTTATTCTCTAGAGCAGGGGTCCTCAAACTTTTTTAAACAGGGGGCCAGTTCACTGTCCCTCAGACCGTTGAAGGGTCCGGACTATAGTTTTAAAAAAAAAAAAAAACTATGTACAAATGTGGACACAGTACAGGAGATGACCAGAGACTGCGGACATACAACGGAAGCGGGAATACTGGGCCAGCCGCTCCATAAGATGCACAGACATTTCCCCCCAAGTGTGTCTTATGGAGCGAAATAGTGCCCCATCATTGGTGTCAGTGGGAGGAATAGTGCCCCATCATTGGTGTCAGTGGGAAGAATCGTGCCCCATCATTAGTGTCAGTGGGAGGAGTAGTGCCCCATCATTAGTGTCAGTGGGAAGAAACGTGCCCCCTCATTGGTGTCAGTGGGAAGAAATGTGCCCCATCATTGGTGTCAGTGGGAGGAATAGTGCCCCATCATTGGTGTCAGTGGGAAGATTCATGCCCCATCATTGGTGTCAGTGGGAGGAATAGTGCCCCATCATTGGTGTCAGTGGGAGGAATAGCGCCCCATCATTAGTGTCAGTGGGGGGAGGAATAGTGCCCCATCGTTGGTGTCAGTGGGAGGAATAGTGTCCCATCATTGGTGTCAGTGGGAAGAATTGTGCCCCATCATTGGTGTCAGTGGGAGGAATAGTGCCCCATCGTTGGTGTCAGTGTGGGGGGGGGGATAGTGCCCCATCATTGGTGTCAGTGGAAGAAACGTGCCCCATAATTGGTGTCAGTGGGAAAAACGTGCCCCATCATTGGTGTCAGTGGGGGGGGGGAATAGTGCCCCGTCATTGATGTCAGTGGGGGAAGGGGATAGTGCCCCCAACATTGGTGTCAGTGGGAGGAATAGTGTCCCATCATTGGTGTCAGTGGGAGGAATAGTGTCCCATCATTGGTGTCAGTGGCAAGAATTGTGCCCCATCATTGGTGTCAGTGGGAGGAATAGTGCCCCATCATTGGTGTCAGTGTGGGGGGGGGATAGTGCCCCATCATTGGTGTCAGTGGAAGAAACGTGCCCCATAATTGGTGTCAGTGGGAAAAAACGTGCCCCATCATTGGTGTCAGTGGGAGGAATAGTGCCCTATCATTGGTGTCAGTGGGAAGAATCGTGCCCCATCATTGGTGTCAGTGGGAAGAATCGTGCCCCATCATTGGTGTCAGTGGGAGGAATAGTGCCCCATCATTGGTGTCAGTGGGAGGAATAGTGTGGGAGGAATAGTGCCCCATCATTAGTGTCAGTGGGAGGAATAGTGCCCCATTGTTGATGTCAGTGGGGGGAGGAATAGTGCCTCATCATTGGTGTCATTGGGAGGGATAGTGCCCCATCATTAGTGTCAGTGGGGGGAGGAATACTGCCCCATCGTTGGTGTCAGTGTGGTGGGGGGAATAGTGCCCCATCAGTGGTGTCAGTGGGGGAAGGAAATAGTGTCCCAACATTGGTGTCAGTGGGAGGAATAGTGTCCCATCATTGGTGTCAGTGGGAGGAATAGTGTCCCATCATTGGTGTCAGTGGGAAGAATAGTGCCCCATCTTTGGCGTCAGTGGGAGGAATAGTACGTCATTGGTGTCAGTGGGGGGGAATAGTGCCCCGTCATTGGTGTCAGCGGGGGGGGGGAAGTGTCCCAACATTGGTGTCAGTGGGAGGAATAGTACCCCATCATTGGTGTCAGTGGGGGAAGGAATAGTGTTCCATCGCTGGTGTCAGTGGGGGGTGGAATAGTGCCCCATCATTGGTGTCAGTGGGAGGAATAATGCCCCATCATTAGTATCAGTGACACCAATGATGGGGCACAATTCCTCCCACTGACACCAATGACACTTAGCTTGGTGACCCCTGTTCCAGCATGGTGCTGCTGCAGCCAGCATACCTGGTTGCAGCAGCACCATCAGCACGGCACACTTACCTGTCAGCTGTCCTTCTTCACTCCGGCATCTCCCTTACTCGATGTTTGTGGGGCTGCTCGGCTCCGCCTCCTCGCAGGTGATTGGCCGCCTGTGCCTTTCCTGAGCCACATTTCTGGCGCCCAATCATCGGTGAGGAGGTGGAGCCGAGCAGCAGGAGTGAGGGAGTGGCCGGAGTGAATGAAGGAGCAGTGCTTCCTGGACTGGATCGTCATGGGACTGGGACCGGAGTCAGGTAAGGTACAGCAGCCCCCTGCCCACCCCTGTACTTAGTGTCCCTTCCTCGAGGCAAACACGCCCCTGTTGGCGGGCTGGATAAATGGCCTTGGCAGGCCGCATGTGTTTGAGGACCCCTGCTCTAGGGCCTCTGCTTTAAAAATATATATATAATATTTGGGTGTTCAAAATAACTTTCTAGCAAAAAAAAACAAACAATTTTTTATGTAAAGAGAAAGTGTCAGAAAAGGATTGATCTTCAAGTACTCCAAAGTATTTGCTAAGGGGCATGGTGAGTATTTTGCAGATCTCATTTGTTTCCACAGGTATTTGGAAAATAAATAAAGAAAATGAAAATTTATTTTTTCTTTTCTTTTTCAAAACCCTGTGACAAAAAATATCTGAAAAACACTCACCATGCCTCTTATCAAATTCCTTGGGGTGTCTACTTTCCAAAAACGGGTCATTTGGGGGGTGGTGTTTGTACTATCCTGGCACTTTAGGGCCTCTGAAATTGTGATAGGTAGTGAGGAAGTGACATGAGGAAATGCCCTTTGAAAGCTTAAAGCTGGTCATTGAATTTTGGGGACCTGTATGTGGCTAGGCTGCCAAAAAGTCTCTCACATATGGTATTTCACATACACCCATGGCATGTGTGAGCAATATATAATTTAACTGACAACTCTGTATTAAAAAAAAAAAATTGTTTTGTCAAAAATATGTGGCAAAAAAATAATTAAGTACTGTCCGTGATACTTTTTTTATTTGCACTAATATACAATTTTGAGGACAAGCTTTCGGGGAGTGTCCCCTTCTTCAAAGTCCAAGCAGTACTATAGTACTGCTTGGACCATGAAGAAGGGGACACTCCCCGAAAGCTTGTCCTCAAAATTGTAAGTTAGTGCAAATAAAAAAAGTATCACGGACAGTACTCGATTGTTTCTGTCGCAAATGCACTAATACGGTTACAATCACCTCTGGCAAAAAAATAAAATCTTCCATGGACTCAACATGCTTCTCAGCAAATTCCTTGGGGTGTCTACTTTCCAAAAAGGGGTAATTCGGTTTTTTTTGTACTGCCCTGACATTTTAGCACCTCAAGAAATGTGATAGGCAGTCAGAAAGTAAAAGCTGCATAAATTCCAATATATATACCATAGTTTGTAGACACTATAACTTTCACACAAACCAATAAATATACAGGTATTGGGATTTTTTTTTAACAAAGACATGTAGAAGAATACATTTTGGCCTAAATGTATGACTAAATTTGAATTCATTGGATATTTTTTATAACAGAAAATAGAAAATATTATTTTTTTCTAAATTTTTTAATTTGTCAGAAAAAATAAAAATCCCAGTAAAAGAGTTCTACAGATAAACTTGACACTAAAGTGCTCAGAAGTGAAAGGAGGCATCCATCACATGAACCATAGTAGCCAGTCTTGGAACAACCAAGGATTAGAAGGGGAACAGTGGTGCAGCCCTCCTCAGATCGGGGGAAACCAGTACTGCGCATAACATAAAAAAAAGAAAGGGCACAACGCCTAGTACATTACCCTTGACATTTTATTCTACAAAACAAGCATAAAATATACTCACAAATAAAGTGAGCTTATAAGCATAGAGATGCATAAGCCACATATAGGAGTCCACTCTCCACCTGGAGACAGGATGAAAACAAGTCGCTGAAGCATTTCGGGTCTCCGGTCCCCTTCCTTAGAGCTATGGCTAGTGTTCCCTGAATTCTATCCTCCCTTATATAGCATATAATAATAGGATAACCCACCTATCATCAGGGGGCGGGAAATATAAAGGGAGAATGGAATCCCTTAAAGGGAAAACCACCCACCAACTAGTTCTATGTCTAGGACTTTCAAGAAAATTGGTACCATCATAGTATACATAAATTACAGTGAAATATAATATGTTAAAACATACTATGAGCATAAGAATGGTGGCATATTACATAATAGACAGTTTCATAATATGATGCTATATAGGGTCTTTATACTCTCCCTGTCACATAAGCCGATCTCATTGTTACTTACAGATAACTATTATTAATGGTATTGATACAAAGCAAAATGGATGCTGTATCTGAAAACATCATCTCTCCAGAAAGTGTTCTATGCAAAATTTCAATTGGGTACAGCAATGCATGACCACGCAATTACCAGTTAAAATAGTGCAGCGTCAAATAGCAAAAAATGGCATGGTTAGGAAGGGGGTAAATCTTCTGAAGGGCAAGTGGTTAATATCACTTTAAATTGAAAAATCGTTTATACATATCTTCCCCTCATTCCTGCACCCATCTGTTGGCGGCTAGGAGCTCCAAATCAATTTTCAAAAATTCAAAGCTACAATTTCCAGACTTCATCTGTAATATCACCTGCTGGTTAAATCTGGTATTATAATGCGGCCATAAAAAATAATGATCTTTTATGTAAAGTGTGCCTCATTTACACTGGGTTGGACTTAAAATAATATCTGTTGCAACATGTTTTAAAAGGCAGCATTCTGCTTGTAGGTGGGAGCCACTCTGTATGCCATACATGTGAATGCAGCGGAGTGCTTCGCCTGTTAACAAGAGCTTCAGGCACATGACCATTTCATCAGCCAGACTTGCACTTTAATACATGCATGGATGCAGGCTGTAGGCCACAGTTACTTTTCCTCCACTGGTCACAGGTACTTAACTCCTTTTCTCCCAGAGCAAACACTTGCATAGGCCTATATCTTAGTCATGGTCCGGGTTAGAGCTCCCAAAATCCAGCCAAACACTTTGGGCCCATGCCAGCCAGGGGCCTGAACCACCTGGTGCAGGCTACCTCCTCACTGCCAGGAGGATGACTCTGTTCCTTCAAGCACCACCAGCTTTTGGCCAACCAGGCTTCGTAAACTACTACATAGTTAATCTGACTCCACTTGCAACTAAATGTTCTCTTCTTAACACACAAAGCAGAGGGTAACTTCATAAGATACACTTCATGGATACTGGTTCTCCAACTGAGACATTAACAGGACAAGTAGCTTTTATTTGCTTTTAACTTTACTTAATTAAAGTAAATAAAAGTATAACAGTCTTTATCAGCCTTTTTCAACCAGGATGCCCAGGCACCCTGGGGTCCCTTCAAGTTCCTTTACGGGTGCCTTGGCAAAATGCCTAAAAATGATATGTTATGGGGAGACTCAGAAAAATAAAAAGAGTTGTGGTATTGTTATTGACAGAATGAATCATATATGTCACCTTTGATTTTGCCCATTGTTCCACTTTTAGCTCAGTATACACTTTTGAGGGTCATACACATGGGTATATTGTGGGGCTTACGGCAGCACATCCTAAAACATGTCTATAGTTGCAGCAATTCTTCCTATAGAAATGTATTACAGAATAAGCTGTTTGAGGGTATGCAATTGTAAATGCTGGTACACATGCATTCGTATGGATGTATTTCTCTACAGTACTGCATTCAGGGAAACATATCTATATGCATGCAGGCATGTACCGGGATTTACACATGCAGACCAGCAGACAACATAGTCTGTAATACACTTCTATGGGCAGAATTAGGCTGCAGATAGGGCATCCAGTTGTCGCAAACAAAGCCATATTTTACACTGTATGGCCATACTCCCTACAGTATACCCATGTGCATGAGCCCAAAGATCTGATCAATTCACAATTCACAAACTTTTTTTTTTTTGTTTAAAATGACAGTTATTTTCAGTTGAGTCCAATGAAGTGTGAAAATTAGAAGCTAAAATAAAGGTCCCTCTTTTGTATTTTAAGAATTGTGAATTAGGCTCTTACTTTTTACAGCACTTGGCAGGTGATACTACTATTTACCAAGTGCCCAAAAACTGCCAGCAAAGGCTGAAGTATAAATGAGCCCTTAGTTTGTGAAGCTGCCAGGTACTACTGGTTGCGACGAGGAAAATGTATTAATTTGTAGCGATTGCAACAATAATTTTTCTAGACATTTCCTATTTTCTAATTAAACTGGAATTCTACTTTGAAAAGAACAAGTAACTCCGTGACAAGCCTCTCAAGACTCCTTGTACACAGATGACAGATGCTTTTCCTTGCCTGCTCTTTTTTCACTCGGGTTTGATCCACTTGTTCACATTTCCTTTATCCATCTTGTTAAATGCAGTTGCCAAGCAACAGGCATCTCCAGGCCTAAAAAACTGAGCAGTCTTCCCTGCCTATGGAAGTTTGGTGATCTGTCCACCCAGTGTCAGATGGTCAGGCGGTATAAAACCGGAGACAGTCCACGGAAGTATAACTAAATCCAAACCTTGTATATTTACTCTTTTGCCATTACTACCTCTAAATGGACTGCACTATATTCTATCAATGTTCCATCAATATCCAAACATTAGCAGGATTCTTGGTTAAAACAAAAACGCAATTTGTTTATTCTGCAAAAAAACACCCCCCAAAAAATCCTAGTTTTTTATCAAAAGCAACGATCACTCCCATTCTTTGAAAGCACTTTATTGTCATCAAGACCTTTTAAATCGTGTCCACTGTACAGGTAGCTACCATTTTAATTCATAATCTTCATCAAAGTACCATCTGGCTTAAAGTGGTTGTAAACCTCTTTAATGAAAAATGAATAAAGCATATCCCTCTATAATGTGTACTAGACTCAATCGAAAGCACCAAGCATGATATCTGTCTTCTCTCTATTACCTATGCTATCTGCATTAGTCACTTCTGACAGGTTATCCCAACACCACAGAATCTCAAGAGATCCCCATCCCT